CCGCCGTGGGGGGGGCGCTGCCCCTGCCATGGAGCTGCGCCTCAAGCAGCCCAGTGAGCACCAGGGCGGAGGCCCCGGACCAACCTTTGCCCCTGTAGGCCTTCGTGGTGGGGGGTGGGGGGTGGGGGGATCCAGGGCTCCACCCCCCTCAAGAGTCCCTAAGGTCTGGGCTGCGCTGCTGCTGCTGCTGCTGCTGCTGCCGCCTATGCAGTGTGCAGAGCTGCTGCGGTGAGTAAAGCAGCCGACCTCCCCCCTCCCCAGGTGAGGTGGAACTGGAGGAGTACTACCCTGCCTTCCTGGACATGGTGCGCAGCCTGCTGGAGGGGAGCATCGACCCCACTCAGTATGAGGACACGCTCCGCGAGATGTTCACCATCCATGCCTACATCGGCTTCACCATGGACAAGCTGGTGCAAAACATTGCTCGTCAGGTGAGGCTGGCCAGGGCAGAGCAGGGCAGGGCGAGGCAGGCTCAGGGGAACACTTCTTATCTGTCCCTTCCACTTGTCACCTTGGGAATTGGTCCTTTCCACACCTGGTCACATTGCAAGTCTCCCCCTTGTTTCAATGAGATGAAGATCACATAACAGAATTAACCATCTTGAAGTGCATAGTTCATAACAGTGAGCACTGTTACCCATCTCTAAGGCAAAGCCCCTACACCCCAGCTGTGCCCCCAGGGCAACACAGCGACATTCCTGTGAATTCACTCAGCCATTTCCTTCACCTCTGTAGGACACATTTTATTCATTCAGGTATGTGTGTCTGGACACACAAATGGCATGGTGTGTGTGCCATAGGACAACTTGCAGGATTTGGTTCTCTCCTTCCACTGTGTGGGTCCTACGGATTGAACTCAAGTCATCAGGCTTGGCTGCAAGTGTCTTTGCCCACTGAGCCATCCCACTGGTCCCAAACACTTTTTTGTTTTTCCTTTTTAGTGCTGGGCATGGAAACCAGGGCCTTGTGTGTGCTAGGCAAGTGTTCTCTGTCTAGTCCTGCCCCCAAGGACTTCTGAGATAAAGCACACGCAGAATACCCCTATCTCCGGGGCCACTCAATGAATTTTCAGGAGCAAAACTTCCCCACCTGGTTCTGCACACAAGTTTCAAGCCATGTGCAAGTGGCTCATCCTAGCAGTGACCTGTGTCCTTCAGAGTGACCTGCTGCAGGGACCTGTCTGGGCATGCATGGGTAGCTAGGTCACTCTTCAGTGGGCTGTGACCTGGTGTGAGTCAATGGTGCCTCCTAGTGTGAATGAGGCCACACCTTGTTGCCACCTTTGGTTGGTAGATCCTCTTTAGGCTCATGGTGCATTTCCCCCAGTAGCTCGTAATCTGACCTCCTGTGACCACTGTGGGACCATTTGGATGTCCTGGGGAGCCGGAGAGCCTGTCTTGCACCCCCGCTGCTCTCCAGCCCATCCTACCACACCACATCACAGCCAACAGCTCTCATGGTCTCTTCATCCCTTCTATTTGAGCACCTCTACTTTCCCTGTATGTTCCAGGAATGCTTCTCTGCTGTCCCTGCCCACAGTAGTGGCCACTGCAGCTGGGTTATGTGGAAACGTGGCTTCCGGGGCCACAGACACAATGCCAGGGCAACCAGGTGGGGGACAATAGAGGGCCATCTCCCCTGGAACAGCAGCCTCATTGCTGGAACTAGATAGTTAAAGTGACCTCCCAGGACTGAGGAGCTGGCTCACTGCATAAGAATACTTGCTGTGTGCAAGTTCAAATCCCCAGTGTCCAGTAGGGAGCTGGCAATAGCAACATGATCCTTGTCTTAGGGTGATGAAACACCAAGACCAAAGCAAGTTAAGGAGAAAGGGGTTTATTTATTTCACTCACAGTTCCATATAGTTCATCCTCAAAAGCAGTGAGGGCAGGAACTCACGCAGGGCACGAACCTGGGGGCAGAATGTGATTTGACGCAGAGGCCTTGGAGGCTTACTGTCTTGCTCAATGTGCTTTCTTACAGGACCTAGGACCACCAGTACAGGGGTGGAACCACCCACAGTGGTCTGGGCCCTCCCCCATCCATCCCTAATTAGAAAATGCCACACAGGCTTGCCTATAGCCTGATTAATTTTTTCTTTCTTTCTTTTTTTTTTTTTTTTGGTTTTTTGAGACAGGGTTTCTCTGTAGCTTTGGAGGCTGCCCTGGAATTAGCTCTTGTAGACCAGGCTGGTCTCGAACTCACAGAGATCTGCCTGCCTCTGCCTCCCGAGTGCTAGAACTAAAGGCGTGTGCCACCAACGCCTGGTCTAGCCTGATTGATCTTAAGGAGCTTTTTCTCAACTGAGGTTCCCTCCTCTCAGATGACTCTACTTGTGTCAAGTTGATATAAAGCCATCCAGCACACTCATACCCCCACTGCAGAGGACAGAACCAGGAGGGTGGCTGGGGTTTGCAAGACATATGAATGGCTCCAGATCCATATCAAGGGGATAAGACAGAGAGAGAGAGAGCAGGGCCCCCACTGTCACCCACTGTTCTCCTCTGTCCTGCTTGAGTGGACAAGTGCACACACACTCACCCTCTCACAAACAGTTGAAACTGTTCTTAAAAGAAGGAAATAAGCTGGGCGGTGGTGGTGCACACCTTTAGTCCCAGCACTCGGGAGGCAGAGGCAGGAGGATCTCTGTGAGTCTGAGGCCAGCCTGGTCTCCAGAGTGAGTTCCAGGACAGCCAGGACTGTTACACAGACACACCCTGTCTCCCAAAAACAAAAAACAAAAGGGGGGGGTAATGATGAAATTGAGTGAGCAGGATGGGCCCTAGCTGTGGCTGTCAGACCCTATAGCTGCTATCCAGGTACTCACCAAGGGCTACCATGCTAGCACTGTGCCTACCTTGTCTGCAGCATTCCTGTCACTGTCCTCACGGAGATGATGGGTAGGCAGGATCCAGGCCATCACCCCTGTGGTGCCCACCAGTACCTAAGACCTGCCAAACTGGCCCAGCCCATCTTTGCATTACATCCCTCTGTAGAAATGGGCAAAAGGGCTGTTTGTCTCCACACATCTGAGAGGAAGTTTTAGATGAGGGCAGTGCTTTCAAAGGGCACATGTGTCTCTTGAGGACATTTCTTACACCCCAACAGTTAGCTCATGTGGTCTACTCTGGTCTAGTCTGCTCTGGTCTGGCTTGGTTTGGTCTGGTCTGCCTACAAAAAAAAAAAAAAAAAAAAAATTGTTATTTGTACCATGTGATCTAGTCTTCATTCCCTGTCCCCAGTCACAGACTTGTTTCCAGGGGTATGGGACTGTGGCTTCGGGGGTGGTAGGATACAGGAGGTGGCAGCCGTGGCCTTGCTCTCTCTGCCAGCTTCACCACCTGGTGAGCGACGACGTGTGTCTGAAGGTGGTGGAGCTGTACCTGAACGAGCAGCAGCGAGGTGCAGCTGGCGGGAACCTGTCCTCCCGCTGTGTCCGTGCTGCACGGGAGACCAGCTACCAGTGGAAGGCGGAGCGTTGCATGGCCGATGAGAACTGCTTCAAGGTGAGAGGTTGTGGGGTGACCTGGGACTAAAGGCCAAGGCTTCTGGAAGAGGACTGGACACTGAGCAGGGGTCAGGGGCACAGTCACCACTCCTGTGAACCAGGAGTAGCCGTAGCACCTGCTGGGTCCCTCTTACAGGGCAGTGCCAGGGCCTCGGAGGGTGGTAGGGATGGCTGATGACTGCTCAGGCTGTGACCACCTCCCCAGGTAATGTTCCTGCAGCGCAGAGGACAGGTGATCATGACCATAGAGCTCTTGGACACTGAGGAGGCGCAGGCGGAGGACCCCGTGGAGGTGCAGGTGAGTCTGCTCCTGTTGTCTGTCCTCAGCTGTGTGCAGCCGCATTCCTGGTCTCCCACTTTGCTGACAGTTAAAAATACATCCATGTAAGCACCAAAGCAGTCACTGAGGACCCTTCCTTTGTCTTCCTGGTACCTTCCAGGGTCCCTGTGTGCCTGTCACTTAGTGTGCACACTCACTTCCTGTGGCCCCCCACAAGTGACCACAGAGTAGGACATTGCAAGAGCAGAGCCATACCCTCTCATCCTGGATGCCTGGGGTCCAAAATCCATGGGTGCTCAGGTCCTAACCCTCAGAGCTGCTAGGAGCCCCTTGTGGCCTCTGCCACTTCCGAGCGTTCTAGCTGCCCTAGCCAGATAGTGGTACACACCTTTAATCCCATCACTGGAGAGGCAGAGGCTGGAGATCTCTGTGAGTTTGAGGCCAGCTGGGTCTACAGAGTGAGCTCTAGGACAGCCAAAGCTATACAGAGAAACCCTGTCTCAAAACAAACAACCTGGGGCTGTAGTTTGGTGGTAGATGCTTGCTCGGCATGGCCAGGCCCCAGATTCTATCCCCAGTGCTGCAAAATAGAATATAAATTGATTTTTGATTGCAAATGAGGTCACACACAGGTCCCAAGACTCTAAAGGACTTTTACTGCACCAACAGAGAAGCAAACCAGGACACACACACACACACACACACACACACACACACACACACACACTTGCATGCGCACATGGATTCCCCTTGTAGGTGACACTCTGAGGCATTTTCCCCTTCCCAAGTTTGGAGAACACTTTTATTTTTGGTTTTGGTTTTGGTTTTTCGAGACAGGGTTTCTCTGCGCCACCAACGCCTGGCTGGAGAACATGTTTTATGGAGTTTGTTTGGAGACTGTCCTGGTTTGCCTTCTGTTGCTATGATAAGCATCATGCCCAAGAGCATCTTGGGGAAGAGGGGTAACACCAGTCAGTCCATCCAGGCAAGCAGGCACGAGCTGAGCATACTGGCTTGCAGCTTAGGCCCACCTGCGGAGTGGTGGCTCTGCTCAAAATGGGCTGGGTCCTATACCAGTTGGGAATTGAAATGCTCCCACAGACATGTCCACGCATTTATCAGATGGAGGCACTTCTTCAATTGGGGATCCCTCTTCCTTGGAGATTCTAGGCAAGGGACTCTACCTCTGATCTATGTCCCCAGCCCCTCACTGGGGCATTCTAGGCAGGGGCTCCCACCCCTGAATCATACACCCAGCCTTTTTATATCTGTATATCCTGATGTTCTGCACTGTCCTCCGTGGCTCAAAGCTTGTACTAAGGTGAGGATGCCATGTGAGTGCCTAGACTTCCCGTGGAGGCTGGCCCCAGACCTAAGGCTGTAGTGTCCTTTCACAGCAGAGCCCTCAGCCATGGCTGGTCTCATTATGCTTTGGGGTTGGGGTACAAGCTCACATGAGTGTCTGACTTGGGATCCAGAATAAGAGGTGGGTCACCTTATCCCCCCGGGGGTCATAGGGTATGTCTGTCCCTTGCCCAGCACCTGGCTCGCTATGTGGAGCAGTACGTGGGGACTGAGGGTGCGTCCAGCTCGCCTACCGGGGGCTTCCTGCTGAAGCCTGTGTTCCTGCAGAGGTGAGTACAGGGCCACACATGTGCCACCTGCCAGTGCCTGCTGCGCAGTGACATAAGACATGAGGAGGAGCTGTGGGAGGTAGAGGGGGTAGTCTAGGGCCAACAGGAGGCCACCCCACCCCCAGAGAGCAGAAGGAGCAACCCGGCAATCCTGCTGGGAGAAGCTTATGGAAATGGAGAGTAGGGAATGAAGTGTCATGCATGCTGGGCGGTCACCATCGCCTGGACCTCCAGAGGCCGCAAGTCCCCTCCCCGAGGCCCTGTCCCTGCAGGAACCTGAAGAAATTCCGGCGCTGGCAGTGTGAGCAGGTGCGTGCCCTGCGTGGGGAGGCCAAGAGCTCGTGGAAGCGGCTCATGGGCGTGGAGAGCGCTTGCGATGTGGACTGCCGCTTCCGCCTGGGCACACACAAGATGGTGTTCATCGTCAACTCCGAGGACTACATGTACCGCCGCGGGACGCTGTGCCGTGCCAAGCAGGTGCTGCATCCACACCCACCCACTTGAGCCCTTGAGCCCCACACTCGGAGCCCATGAACCTCACATCCAGCCCTAAGCCCCACCCCGCACCCCGCCCCAGGAGTTCACACGTATGCACCTTCCCTCAGTTGCAGCCCCTGGTGCTGTTGCGCCACCACCGTCACTTCGAGGAGTGGCACAGCCGCTGGCTGGAAGACAATGTGACTGTGGCTGCTGCCGGGCTGGTGCAGGACTGGCTGATGGGGGAAGAGGAGGAGGACATGGTACCCTGCAAGACGCTCTGTGAGACTGCACACGTGCACGGCCTGCCCGTGACACGCTACCGCGTGCAGTACAGCCGTCGCCCTGCCTCGCCGTGAGCATCTGGAAGAGGTCCCAGCACGTGCCCGTGCCCACCCCGACCCCACGTGTCATGCCCAACAGGGCCTTTGTTGCTTTGAGCCCGAGGTCATGCCTTGACCTCAAGCAAGAGCTGTAGCCAGCCCTTGCAGTGCAGACCAGACCACGGGCAACGGCAGGGGCCGTCCCCACGAGGGCAGCCCCTCCGCACAGTTCTAGATGCGTATGCACAGTATTTATTCCTTCCTGCGCTCCTAGTGGTCGTGACTTTCGCAGCAGCAGCTCCCCTGGCTTCCCACGGGTGAGACCTCCCTGTGGACCCGAGAACCACCCGCTGTTCCCGCAGCTGTCCTCCGCAGTGCCAAACGCAAGGTTCCAGAGAGCACTTGCTCTCCAAGTTTCCTGAGCCGTTCTTTTGACCCCGGGCCTGGGCACTGGGGAGCAGGTGTGCCTACCCAGGCCCGACTGCGTGCCTCACAAGGGATCATGGCACCTTGAGCACATCCTAGTTTCCTGAGAAGGATGTTGCTCGTGGGAACCCCGAGCCTCCCAGGACTCTCTGGGCCTCCATTCCCCAGTAAGGAGGTTGGGCACCTTCGCATGCTTCTGGGAGCCACTCCTTAAATGTTTTTGAGGGATTTCTGTTCCAGCCTTGACCTCCCTTCGCAGCTGTTTTGAATGTAGTTTTCTTTTTCTATTTATTTGCACATTAAAGTTAAATATTGATGCCAAGCCTCAGGGTCTGCCCATCATTTCCTGTAAGAGTCCTGGCCAGGTCTTGCCCATTGCTGAGTCTCGAGTGGTGACAGCTGCCCACTCCAGAGTGAGCAGAGGAGCAGAAACTGCCCAGAGTGATAGACAGCAGCTCCCCTAACCTGGGGCTGCTTTCTAGACTATTCTTCCCCGATTATCTTTTCACATGCAATAGAGGAGCCATTGGACAAACCACTTTGGGGGTGTGGGAGACACAGTTACTAAAGTCACTGACAACCTGAATTTGATCCCCAGGCCCCACATGATGGAAGGAGAGAAGGAAGTCGCATGCACAATACCACTTTACATTGTGACAAATTTCTTTTAAATATTTGTGCTGGTGAGCAGGACATTGATGGAACATACACACCTTTAATTCCAGCGCTCCAGGCAGACGTAGGCAGATCTCTGTGAATAAGACCCTGTCTCAAAAAACAAAAAGAAAGCAACCCCCCCCAAACAAAAATTCGTACTTAGGGGCCATAGCGATGGCTCAGAGGTTAAGGCTGCTCTTGCAGAGGACCCAGGTTCAATTCCCAGCACCTCCATGGACACTCACAATCATCTAACTCCAGTTTTCAGGGGATTCAACTCCCTCTTTTGATCTTGACAGGCACCAAGCAATCATGAGGCCCACATACATGCTATGTGGTGTGTGTGTGTGTGTGTGTGTGTGTGTGTGTGTGTGTGTGTGTGTGTTGATGGCTCCGCAGGTAAAAGTGTTTGCCACCACGGCTGAAGTTAAACCTCCAGGACCCACACGATGGAGTGAGAGAACCAACATATTCCCTCAAGTCCCTACTCACAGTAGGTCACACACACACACCTCATATAAAACAGTGTAACACTAACTTAAAAGTTGAAGGTCATCCTGGACTCCATGCTGAGTAGTCCAGTCTAAACTGTGAGAGGAATACATGTCCAACCATCACGGTCATTTATCTTCACAATTCTCCCAACTTGTGGACAGACACTCCCCAAGCTTCTCATCAGCTGGTGCCCAGTGTCCTACCTTCTGTCTGTAATGACCTTAGTGACTCCAGTATCTCATATACACGAAATCCCAGACTCTGCTTATCTGTGGTGGCTTAGTTCACTCAACCAGAAGACACTGGTGTTCATTATACCTGACTGTCCTTCCTTAGTTAGGGCTGGAACCCGGGACCATCTGACACCTGACTTGGCGTGGTGGTCCTCACAGGCAGCTCCGCACCTTCCCTTGCATGTCACAATGATACTCTTATGGAGAGACTGTGATGGGACCCGACCACACCTGCTCCTCCCCCATGCCTAACCCAGGTGAAAGCATCCTTGTCCACATGTGGAAGCCTTGAGTGTAGATGGGTCACACTCAATAATTACTATCAATCCTCCTTGCCCTAGTTGTCCCCGAGAAGCCTGGGGCCCTCAAACACCTCTGGCTGGGCATTCCAGGCCTCCCAGTACAGGGACTAACCCTGAGGGGCTGCTCACTCACATCCTGCTGGATTAGGGCTGGTGAGGCAGGAAATGACCATCTCTCCTCCCCTCCATTCCCAGCTCATTTCTTGTTCCCAGGTTCCCAGGCTTTGACCACCCATGCTGGGTTCTGCTGTTCCCAGAATCTTCTGAGACTAGTCCTGCCATAGGACAGGATGGTGGAGGGACCCTTGCAGGCAGACTTCCTTTTAAAATTGCTGAGCATGTAACAGGGTGTTTAGCATATAAAACACCCCGAGCTACACCCCTCAGACTTGTATGTGCCTGCCTCTCTGAACCTCAGTTTCTTTTTTCTCTTCCATTTCTCCACATCCCTTTGAGAAAGCTTTGCGTGTGTGTGGGGGGGGGGGGCATGTGGAGTAGAGGTCTATGTCATGTCTTCCTCTAGCATTCTCCAACTTACTTTTGAGACAGGATCCCTCTCTGAACCCGCAGCTCACTGATGGACCACATGCATTGCCCAGTGAACACCAGGACTCTCTCCTGTCTCCACTTGCCAGTTGTGGTTTACAGGTGTGCTCTGCCATGCTCAACTTTTATGTGGGTGCTGGGAATTTGAACTTAGATCCTTATGCTTGCATAGTAGCATCTCCATGGCAATGCTCTCCCCACATTTTTTTGTGGACTGTTCCTCATCACATATCTTAGGCTTCCCTAGAAACTGCAATCCTCCTGCCTCAGCCTCCATGTGCTGGGCAGGCATGCCCACTATTTGCCCATCTCAACAGTGGGTTCCCATTGAGCTTTTCCTATGACAACTCCCCAGAATGTCTAGGACACCAAGACAGCTCGGGAGCCCTCTGCAGAGGACTGGCCACCTCCCTCATAAGTCACACCTGGAACTATGAGGACCAGTGACCAGTGCCTCCAAGGGTCCCCAGACCTTGCCTTACAGCCTGTATTCAGTGTCAGGTCTATAGAAGAGGACAGACACCTTCAGCTATCTCCACCTGACCCCAGAATCACATGGAGGCTTTAATTCTGTACTTTACTCCAGGCCAGGGAAGGAGCTGGGATAAGGGAAGCATCCATATGGCAGGGTACCCCCAGAGAGGACTTGGGGTACTCTGGGAAGCAACAATTGTCCATGTGGCCTTTAGTTTTGTTTTTGTTTTTGTTTTTGTTTTTTGCTACATATATACAATCAGTATTTATATATTTATTTACTTTGAGACAGGGTCTCATTATGCAGCCCTGACTATCCTGGAACTCACTATATAGACCAGGCTATCTTTGAACTCACAGAGATCCTCCTGCCTCTGCTTCCTGGAGTGCTGGGATTAAAGGTTTGCATGACCATTTATAGCCCAGTGTGTGCGTGTGAGGGGGCACGTGTGCACAGATGCCAGTATGAGGCCAAAGCACAGCCTGTGAGAGCTCATTCTCTCCTTCCACCATGTGGGTCCTGCAGATTGAACTCAGGCCATCAGGCTTGGTGGCAAGCATCTTCATCTGCAGTGTCATCTTGCTGGCCCTTGGTGGTCTGCTCTGCCAGAGCTAGGACTCCCTGGGATGAGCCCATTGTCCTGCCAGCCACAGATAGGAAGTAGGGGCTGGCCCCAGGAAGGGCTAAGAGCCCCATATGGTGGTGACTTGGGGGAGGGCTGGACTGTCATCCAAACAGAAGTGTGTGACTAGCTAGCAGGAAGTGGCCACTTGGTCCACAGATGTTTCCTGGGCCGGGTAGGGTGAAGAGTGTTGTGCTAATGGGCTGGTAGGGGTGGGGATGGGGCTGAAGTCCAGGCTCCTCGTCTCCATCCTTGGCCCCGTTCCTCGTGAGGCATCTTGGGAGAAACAGAGAGACCTGGTCAGGATACCTCCTAAGCATATAAAAGCCCCTCTCATGGGCTCCAGGGTGAGCAGGCAGACCCCAGTGGGTCTGTGGGGGTGGGAGCTCTGCTGTTAGGGTTATCTTCCCAAGGTAGAGTGTGCTCTCTGCCGAGGTTCCGGAAGCCGGGGGTGGGATTGACAAGGCAGGAAGTCCTGGGCTATAGCCCAGAAGTGGAGTCTGACACTGGCAGCATGTCCTGGCTGTTGCTGTGTCCACTGGTGCTGGGGCTAAGCCTGGCGGAGGGCACCCAGACCCCCAGCATCTATGATGATGGAGAGAGTCCCGGGGGAGGCCATGGTGAGTGACTGTTCCTTGAAGGGGTGGATCAGAAATGGAGCTACAGCTGGGCAGGCTTACAACCTTAGGTACATAAGCCCTGAGCCTTTGGAGCTGGGGTGTATCCTTCCATGCACCAGCCGAGGATTCCTGGGGGCGGGAGTGGGGACACTGAGTTACCCACAGTGCCTGAGACTTGCAAGGTCACTCTCCCTGCATCTTAGGTCCCCAAAGTCAGAACAATGCGTGGGTTGACTGACATCCCCCTCTCTCCCACAGAAGGCACTGTGGGTCCCACGGCTGGACTCAAGGAGTCGAAGTCCCCAGTCCAGCTTCACCCACGAGGCTTCCCAGGGAAATTCTGTGCCAACGACAGTGATACCCTGGAGCTCCCCGCCAGCTCTCAAGCACTGCTACTGGGGTGGATCCCCACAAGGCTGGTGCCTGCTCTCTATGGGCTGGTGGTGGCCGTAGGGCTGCCGGCCAATGGACTGGCGCTGTGGGTGCTGGCCACACGGGTACCCCGCCTGCCATCTACTGTCCTGCTCATGAACCTCGCAGTTTCGGACCTACTATTGGCCCTAGTGCTGCCCCCACGCCTGGCCTACCACCTGCATGGCCAGCACTGGCCCTTTGGGGAGGCTGCCTGCCGGATGGCTACAGCGGCTCTCTACGGCCACATGTACGGTTCAGTGTTGCTGCTGGCTGCAGTCAGCCTAGACCGGTACCTAGCCCTGGTGCACCCTCTGCGAGCTCGTGTGCTGCGCGGTCAGCGCCTGACCACGGGGCTCTGCTTAGTGGCCTGGCTCTCCGCAGCCGCCCTGGCCCTGCCTCTCACTTTGCAGCGGCAGACCTTCCGACTGGCTGGCTCTGACCAAATGCTGTGCCATGATGCATTGCCTCTGGCTGAGCAGACCTCCCACTGGAGACCGGCCTTCACCTGCCTGGCCGTCCTGGGCTGCTTCCTGCCACTGCTGGCCATGGGAGTGTGCTATGGGGCCACCCTGCGTGCACTGGCAGCCAGTGGCCAGCGCTACAGCCATGCGCTCAGACTGACAGCCCTGGTACTGGCCTCAGCTGTGGCCTCTTTCACACCCAGCAATGTGCTGCTAGTGCTGCACTATTCGAACCCAAGCCCCGAGGCCTGGGGTGATCTCTATGGAGCCTACGTGCCCAGCCTGGCACTCAGCACCCTCAACAGCTGTGTGGACCCTTTTATCTACTACTATGTATCCCACGAGTTCAGGGACAAGGTACGGGCCATATTGTGTCGCCAGCCAGACACAAGCAGCTCCTCTCAGGCTTTCAGGGAGGTGGGAAGCCGAGGGACTGCCATTTGCTCCTCTACGCTTCTGTGACAGGTGGCTGAGGTGGAAAGGGGGCATTCAGGGTA